AGGAGCAGTTCCTCATCCAGGGGCCCTGCCCCCAGAGCTCTGCTCAGAGGCAGCTCCCGGACCCAGCAGGACTTCCCACCGAGGAGGGGACATGGAGCGCTCACGGGCTGAAGAGAACAGCGGGGCAGAAGGAGCTCAGGCATGAGCGGCAGGCGAACTGTGCAAGGACAGTCTCTCCTCAAGTTCGAGGAGGATAAATTCTGAGACCTGGGGAGGCCCCTGGGAACAGGGCGGGCAAGGACCAGGAGACCTTCCTGCAGCAGGGAGACCAGTCCAGGGGGAAGGGGACGCCGGCAGGGCCACAGTTGGGTGCTGAGGCAGACGAGTCCAGCCACAGGATGACCAGGCCGTGGTGAGCGGGTGCCAGAGGTGAAGAAAGCCAGGAGGAAGACACGCTGAGGAGGGCCGGCCAGGCCAGAGAAGAGCTGGAGCAGTGCTGGGGGGAAGGGGGGGGGAGATGGTGAGGGCAGGGGCATTGGGAGGTCGTTTTTAGAGCCAAAAAGGGGTCAGGCTGGGTCAGGGCAAAGCAGGTGGGTGTTCCTGCCAGTGGACTGTGGCCTGCTGTGACCCACCCAGGGGGGGAAGGGGCAGCCTCTGATAAGACTGGGCGGGCAGGTGGGGGTGCAGAAGGTGGGCACACTGATCCCTGAAGCTGAATGGAACCACAGCAGTTGTGAAGTCAACCACGTTGATTCTTCAGGGAGGGAAGGAGGCAGGCTCCCTCTGGGCCCTGGCAGGGGCCTATCAGCAAGGCCCACTGTCACCAGCAGTGGGCACGCATGCCCAGATACAGGCCTGGGTGTTCTCCGTTTAGATATAAACAACTTCATACGAACCGGACTCAGACAAAGCCCCTCTGTGACCCGCTGAGACAAGAACACCACTCCAGCCCCAGCCGGTTTGGCTCAGTGGATAGGGCGTCAGCCTGCAGACCAAAGGGTCCCGGGTTCGATTCCTGGTAAGAGCACATGCCTCGGTTGCAGGATCCTCCCCAACACCGGCCCTGGTTGGGGCTCCTGCAGGAGACAACCCACCGCCGTGTTTCTCTCACATCGAAGTTTCTGTCTGTCTGTCCCCCTCTCTTCCATTCTCCCTAAAAATCAGTGAGAAAATATCCTCAGGTGAAGATTAAAAAAAAAAAAAAAGCCACTCCATAATCACATCTGAACACAGAGAAAACACGAGCCCCGTCCCAGCCAGTAAGAGCGAGCGCGCCCCGCCCTGCCCCCTCTGAGCGCCACGGGCCTGCCTCCAGTCTGCCCCCCAGAGGTGTGTGGAGATACCGGCTCACAGAATGGCTCCCCTTCCTGGCAGCACCCCATCCCAAGCAAAGCCCTGCTTCCCGAAGTCCACCCAGGTGCCATCAAGCCAAATCCTAGGAAGGCCTTTCTAGCACCCCCTTCCTGCGACTCCCTGAGGTCCCTAACCCGTCACCTCCGTCTCCTCTCTGAGCACAGCCCAGATCCAATGGGGAAGGGGGAGCCGGGGGTCAGAAAACCCCCACTTGGGCAGGTGTGGAGAGAGGCTGCAGCAGAATGGGTGAGCTGGAGGCAGGCAACGCAGCCCCATCCCTGACAGCTGGGAAACGAGAATCGGGCTGCTCGTGGGGACCTGGGGGAGAGCCCTGGAACTTGACATGACTGCGCCTCGGTGCCCTCACCTGTAGGACGGGGCATTCACACTGTCTGCCTGGATGGGAGGTAGGAGGTATGGACAGAGAGAGGGCTTGGGGATCGAGGTCCCTGTCCTCCAACAACTTTATGCCTTGAGAAGATGGCTTTGCAAAGAAGCTTGTTGCTCTACCCGGTTCGGCTCAGCTGATGGAGCATTAGCTTTCGGACTGAAGGGTCCCAGGTTCGATTCTGGTCAGGGGCTTGATCCCCAGTGGGGGGGGGGGGCATGCAGGAGGCAGCCAATCGATGATTGTCTCTCATCGTTGGTGTTTCTATCGCTCTCTCCCTCTTCCTTCCTCTCTGAAATCAATAAAAAGAAGAAAGAAAGGAAGGAAGGAAGGAAGGAAGGAAGGAAGGAAGGAAGGAAGGAAGGAAGGAAGGAAGGAAGGAAGGAAGAAAGAGAAAGAAAGAAAGAAAGAAAGAAAGAAAGAAAGAAAGAAAGAAAGAAAGAAAGAAAGGAAGAAAAGCTGTTAACCCCACAAAAAATCCCAAGCCAAAAGGGGCCAAGCCAGCTGAGTCTAATGGGCTCATCCAAAGAGGGAGAAACATTGCAAAAGCCAGTGACCCCCAACCAGAGGGTCAGCTAAGCAAGTAGGAAAACGCCGAAGGTTTGCGAGCGGCAAGTGCGCGAGGAGCACAGACCCGGGTGGACACCGGGGGAGGAGGCTCCTGGTCCTCCTGCAGGGGAGACCTCCCGGTGGCCCGGAACCAGGGGCCGTCCGAAGCCTCGCTGTCCCAGAGCTCAGACAGAGCGGACAGAGGACAACGAGACACAGCCCGGCAGATCTCACTCCCAGGCTCGCTCCTCCAAACACGTGATCCCAATGAATGCTGATCACCTTGTTCTCCAAACTGCTGTTCTATCCCAAACGCAACCCTGACACAACAACACAGGTAAGGCAGGTGCAATGAGAGGCGCTAAGAGAGCGCAGGTGACCCCTAACCGGTGTGGTTCAGTGGATAGAGCGTTGGCCGGCAGACGGAAAGGTCCTCGATTCCGGTCAAGGGCATGTACCATGGTTGGGGACACATCCCCAGTAGGAGGTGCGCAGGAGGCAGCTGATCGAGGTTTCTCTCTCATTGATGTTTCTTACTCTCTCTTCCTCTCCCTTCCTCTCTATAAAAAAATCAATAAAATATATTTTAAAAATCAATAAAATATTTTTTAAGAGAGAGAGAGAGAGAGAGCGTGCATATGAGCCAGGAGAGGTAAGGGCTGAGAAAGACTGAAGGCTCTCGCTCAGGTGCTGGGGGCCTGGGGATCTACGGAGAGGCTGGAGGCAGAAGCCGGCTCAGCACCCACACCAGAAACTATGAGACCGTCCTGGCTCTGGCTCATGCCCACGACCAGTCCACCTGTATCGCTAGACATACACCACCTCTGCCCACATCTCACCCCACTGGGGTCAAAGACTGCGGAGGCTCTTTCTCCTCAGCCCCCTCCCACAGCCCCTCCCTTAAGCCTTTCAAGAGCTTCCCAAGGCCCTTAGGGTGAAGATCCACATCAGCCTGGGGCCAGGAGGTCTTCACGTGGCCTGGGCCCTGTGTCCTTCCCCATATGTCCCATCCCCTCCTCTGCCGCATCCCATGCCAGCCCCTTTTGTTCCTCAGTGAGGCCACTGCCCGGCAGCCTCTGTCTTCCCACCGCAGAGAGCCCCCAGGGCATCTCGCTCGGAACTTCCTCAGGAAAGGCTGCCCTGAGCTGGCCTGGCCGGTCCAACCCGCCCACGATGCCCTCTCCCGGCAAAACCAGCAGCCTTCACCACCATGCCCACTTGACAGTGGCGGGTGATTGCTCAGTTCACAGTGCTCCCTGCTACATTGTACGGTCAGCAAGGCAGGGGCAGTGCCAGATTGTGACAAGCACTGAACCCCCAACCCCTAACCCAATGCCTGATACACAGTCGGTGCTCAATATATATATATTTTTGTTGTTGTTGTTGGGCGGGGGTGAGGGGAAGAAGCGTATGCCGACAAATAGAGATGACGCATCAGTCAGAGTTCTTATCTATTCAAAGGTCAGAAGGAACTGGCTCATACAATTGCAGGGTTGGCAAGTTCAAAATCTGCAGAGCAAGCCAGCAGGCTGGAGACTCCAGCGGGACTGGTAGGACGGCTGAGAAAGAGTCCTTCTTCCCGGGAAGCCCGCCGGGTGCTGCATGGCAGGCCTGCGGCTGGCTGGCTGTAGCCCGCCCCGTGAGAGTTGTCGGTGTCCATCACATCGACAAAGTACCTCCCACCGGCCCTGGGGCACCCCAGCCCAGCCCGACAGACCCATAAGATGGAACCGTCCCAGATGGTGAAGATCGAATCAGCCCAGGAGAGGCCACCAGTGGGGCAAGACGAGAGGGAGAGGGAGTGTGGCAGGCTAAAGGGGAAGCCAGTCTCACCCGCAGGAGGACAGCCCAGCAGAGATGTTCTACCGAGAGCAGAGGTCTTCTCCGCTGACGGGATGCAGGCCCTGGCTCCCAGGGCCACAGTGACAGTCCAGGCAGGGGTACAGTCCAGGGTGTCCGAGGAGGGTGGGGGCAAGCCCCCCCCCCCAGCCCCCATTGTGAGGTCCAGATAGAACGCTCAGCTCAGATGGACCCCAGTCCTGGCTGACCTCCAACCTCGTCCTCGCCCCCAACCTCCCACTGGGAGAGTGCCCTCCGGCCTCACCCTGGACGTCACCATCCTCCTCTGTTGGGGAGTGGATGCCCGCAGAGCCTGTGTGGATCATGAAGACACGGCCTCGCCTGACTCCAAGGTCAGGCCCACAGAGGTGTCAGTGTAGGGAGCACTTAAAAAAGGAAGCGCCATTGGGACTCAGAGGTCTGACTTCTTGGAACCTGACGAGGAATGCGGTCGGGTTCTTGAAGGACCACAGTCAGGAAAATCCAAGGAGCCAGAGAACGGAGGTATGGGTGAGGAGGGGGCCCAGCGGGGGGTTTGGAAGAGGGGAGCTGGAGTCACCAGAAAAGGAAACTCCAAGTGATAGGGAGCCAGATGCTTGGACAAGGAAGGCCCCAGGCTGGCACTCAGAGAAAGACTCTGATCGCGGGGGCCGGCAGAAAGCATGGCCCAGGGTCCAGGGGTCCAGAGGTCCCTAGGGAGGTCCCCAGGTGAAGGCTGACAGGCTCCACCTGGGTGTGCCCACGGTGAGAAGGAAAGGACACCCTGGCCAGGAGGGAGGTGATGAGTGTTCACTCAATAGACATTCACTGGTTACCTACCTACACTGCACCAGGCCCTTTGCCGAATTCTGGGGAGTCCCACAATCCCTGCCTTCAACACCCAGAGAGTAGTACAGCCTTCGTGAGCTGACCAGACGGAGCGTTCTGACACGGAACGCCTCTACAGAGGAGCCACGGCCTCCAGGGCAGGGACGAGCTTTCCCTGGGAGAGAGGAAGCTTCCCAGAGGGGCCACCATGGGAGCCAAGTTGTCTGGACAGCCTCTGACCTCACAATACCCACTGGGCCAGCCTTACAACTTGCAAACTCTGGCGCCCCCCTCCAGCCCGGGCAAGGCCCGGGGCCCTGGGCAGCCTCCAGGTGCAGTGCCATCCCGCAGGCCACACCCTTCCCGCTGCCCTGGGGCATGTCTCTACTCACCAATTACGAGGGGCTTCGGCATCAGATCGAGAGGCTGGTGCGGGAAAACGAGGAACTGAAGAAGCTGGTGCGGCTCATTCGGGAGAACCAGGAGCTCAAGTCGGCGATCAGGATGCAAGCGGGTGCCCTGGGCATCAGCGGGTTCAGCAGTGGGGTCGGTGAAGCGCCACCTGGAGCTCCTCAACGCCAGGGTAACTATCGGAGACCTGAAGTCAAGGAGAGCAGGAAGGGAAGGGTGAGGCTGCACTACAGAGGAGAGAGGAGGCTGGGGTCATGGGAGTCCCGGGGAGAAGGGCACAGGTAATAACACACAGGTAGGCAGTGGCTCCACCAGGGGAGGACACAGGACCCTTAGAATCAAAAGGCAAAATTAGGTACCAGTCCCCTCCACCTGGCGGGAGGAGCCCCAAGAGAGGAAGAGAGAGGGACAGGGAGTTAGAAACATCAATGAGAGAGAATCATCGATCAGTTGCCTCTTGCACACCCTCCACTGGGAATGTGTCCACAACCAAGGTACATGCCCCTGCCCAGAATCGAACCTGGGACCCTTCAGTCCGCAGGCCGACGCTCCATCCACTGAGCCAAACCGATTTTGGCTTTATTGATGTTTTACAGAGAGGAAGGAAGGGAGATAGAGAGTTAGAAACATAGATGAGAGAGAATCATCAATCAGCTGCCTCCTGACCGCCCTCCACTGGGGATGTACCCACAACCGAGGTACATGCTCCTGACCAGAATGGAACTTGAAACCCTTCAGTCCGCAGGCTGATGCTCTATCCACTAAGCCAAACTGGCTAGGGCTGTGGTCAGCAAACTGCGGCTCGAGAGCCACATGCGGCTCTTTGGTCCCTTGAGTGTGGCTCTTCCTCAAAATACCATGGCCTGGGCAAGTCTATTTTGAAGAAGTGGCATTAGAAGAAATTGAGTTTAAAAAATTTGGCTCTCAAAAGAAATTTCAATCGTTGTACTATTAATATTTGGCTCTGTTGACTAATGAGTTTGCCGACCACTGGGTTAGGGCTTAAGTTTGATTCTTTTTTCTCAATTTAAAAAAATATATATTTTATTGACTTTTTTACAGAGCGGAAGAGAGAGGAATAGAGAGTTAGGAACATCTATGAGAATCATCGGTCAGCTGCCCCTTGCACACCCCCTACTGGGGATGTGCCCACAACCAAGGTACATGCCCTTGACCAGAGTCGAACCTGGGACCTTTCAGTCCGCAGGCCGACGCTCTATCCATTGAGCCAAACCGGTTTTGGCTTAAGTTTGATTCTTCATAAAATCCTGGGCCACTTCTGGTTTCCTGAAGGGTCGAGCTTAGGGGCTAGGCAAGGCTTTCTGGAGGTGAGCCCGGTCAGTGAGGGGTGAAGGGGGCAGCGAATGTTCCAGGGGGAGGAGCAACATGTGGAAGGTCTGGCCTTGGAGGTGCAGGAATGAAAAGCAGCTTGGTGTGGTGAAAGCCCGGGCTCCGTGTGTGTGTGTGTGTGTGTGTGTGTGTGTGTGTGTGTGTTGTATATTGAGTGTGTGGTCTGTGTGTGAGAGAGGGTGTGGGGGTGGGTATTGATGGGGGGAGAGGTAACAGAGCATGTGTGATGTGAATCACCGGTTGTCTCAGCTGTGAGCACGTGTGTGCAAGCATGTGAACGTGGTGTGCAACTGTATGGTCCACAAATGTGTAGTGTGTAGTGTGATGTGTATGTGTATTGTGTGGCATGTGCATGCAGTGTGTGGGGCCAGTATGTGACTAGGGTGTGTGGTACTTGTGTATATTATTATATATAAGAACTAGTGACCTGGTGCATGAGATTCGTGCACATTAAAGGAGAATTAATTAGAGAAAATATTTTAATACTGCAATTTGCCCTTTCTCTATGATAGAAATGTCAGAGATGAAAGAAAATTAGTAAAATGTATACAAAAACCTCCCTCCTATCAGAGTCTGGGGTGCACCACGGGACCCAGAATCAAGTCCCCACCCACCCATGTGCACCTCAAAATCTTGTGAGACCCAGACCCAGCTGTCCCCTCCCCCAGTGGGCTAGATCCAGATCTGGCCAGCCGCACCAGGTGGGGGTGTAGCCTGAGGTCCCTTAGCCCAGGCCAGGGGCGTGGCCTAAGGTTCCCTGTGAAGCCCCACATGGCAGGGGGTGCAGCCTCAGGTCCACCTGCCTGGCACCAGGATGGGAGGCACAGCCTCAGGTCCCACAGTCTGGTGCCAGAGCTTGGGGCATGGCTTCAGGTCACCTGGCCTGGTGCCAGGGCAGGGGGTGCAGCCTGAGGTTCCCGGCCAAACTCTGCCAGGTTGGGGGCTCAGCCTGAGGTTCCCCAGCCTGGTACTGGGACGGGGGTGGGTAGGGCGTGGTCTGAGGTTACCTCAAACCCCACCAGCTGGGGGGTGCAGCTCAGATCCCCTGACCCAGCCCAGCACCACACAGCCTCAGGTTCTTGCTGATTGCTCCTTAAGGCTCGTTATGGGAACTCAACTTCTGCTGTGGGCACAGCCATCTTGTGTTATGGAATCCCTGCCATCTTGTTATGGCGTGATGGTCAATTTGCATATTCCCTCTTAATTAGATAGGATGTGTGTGAGTGTGTGGTATGTGTGCCTTGAGAGAGTTGTGAGTGTGGGAAAGTGTATGTGTTATGAAAGTGTGCTATATGTATGGTGTGTGTGACTTTTGTGAGTTGTGTGATAGTGTGTGTGTGTTTTTATGTGTGATATGTATGAAGGTGTGTGTTTATGCTGTGTGTGCTACTGTGTATGACCTGTGTATGTGTGTGGAGTTGTTTGTGTATGTCGGAGCCAACAAGAGGTGCACAGTGCAGCTGGAGAGGTCGGCAGGCATCAGCTGCCAAGGACGCCAGTGCCACCACACACAGGAGCTCGGCCCACTCCTAAAGGCAGGCGGCAAACACTGGTGATGGCTAAGAGGGAGGAGTCATGTTTGTGCTTCGGGAAGATGATCCCGGGTGCTGTGGGGAAAGGAATCGAGGGAGACCAGAGAGAGGCAGGGAGAGGGTTAGGCTGAGGCTTTGCCGCTGCCTCCCTTGCCTGTTTTCCTGTGACCGGCCTCCCTCACAGGGTCAGGCTCTTTCTCTCGATTTGCTCTAGTGAACTTGGCCCTCAATTCCTCTTCCTGCCCCCCGCCCCCCTCCTTTCTTGCGCTGGACTCTTGTGCACAGCTTTCCCTCCTGTACTCTCCAGCCCATCCCCACTTAGGAGGAATACGGGGGAGGGGGAGGAGTGCTTGTGGGTGCTCACAGAACATGTGCCAGCCCTCCTCCCCAGCCCAGACAGGAAGAAAAGGGTGAGAGATGGGCGGGGGGGTGGGGGGGAGACAGGTCTTCCCAAGCTACCACACTGTGGCACAGAACTCCAGGGACAAAATCCTAAGTTGAACTCTGACCTTTCCAGATTGTTACAGGTGCATTAGTCAGGTAGGAAGCTAGACCATCATTTAACACTTGGTTAGCTCAGTTGATAGCTTTGAACGATGTTGACATGCAGTATGCGTGTTCTCTGTGCTGTGGCCCAGGGTGAGCCTGGGACAGTGGTCGGCAAACTGTGGCTCTCGAGCCACATGCGGCTCTTTGGCCCCTTGAGTTTTTAGCAAAGGCCAGCTTAGGAGTACCCTAATTAAGTTAATAATAATGTACCTACCTATAGAGTTTAAGTTTAAAAAAATGTGGCTCTCCAAAGAAATTTCAATCGTTGTACTGATGACATCTGGCTCTGCTGACTAACGAGTTTGCCGACCAGTGGCCTGGGAGAAGGACCTGCAGTTCGGGAGGAAGAGGATGCGTTCTATTTGGGACACACGGACTTTCCGACATTTGCATGACGTCCATGCGGTAGTTATGGGCCTGGTGCTCAGGGGAGCGGTCAGGGCGCCAGAGAGAAGGATTCTGTGTTGGTGACAAAAGCTGCAGGAGGCGGCGGTGAGCATCGGAGGACAGAACACACAGAGCAGACGGAGGAGCCAGTCCCAGTCAGGGCAGGTGGGGGACCTGGCCACTGAGCGTCAGGGAGAGGCAGGCCCAGCCACGTGGGTGCCGGGGAAGCCTGCACAGTTCCTAGGGGCAGGGGCAGCAAATGAAGGCCGAGGAGAGGGCCAGCAAGGAGTGTGCTAGCCAGCCCCAGCCCGTTGGCTCCGTGGACAGAGCATCAGCCTGCGGACCACAGGGTCCTGGCTTGGTTCCGGTCAAGGCCCTGGTCCCCTCGCTGGCGTTAATGGCCTTGTGGGAGTGACTGGGTGGGAGAGGCCAGGAGTGTGGTGAAGAGGGAGGGAGACAAGAGGAAGGCTGGTTTTCAGGAGACATCGCTCTGGCACCGAGAGTGGCTTTTCAGGAGGGCAGAGACCCCGAGTTTGCTGGTTTGGGGGGAAGGAGCCAGGGCAGGGCAGGGCGGGAGGACGCCAGGTGCAGCCAGGACCCCAGAGCACGACTCCCTTTCTCCGTGAAAATGTCTTTCTCGGGGGCTGGGGGGGGGGGGGGGAGCAGGAGGACGGGGAAGGGGTGTGGGTGCCTGTGCCGAGGCCCTAAGGCAGCGCCCGCCTTCTCCGGCAGCATGTGGTGGAGGGAGGCCCGGGCTGAGGCGGCTCAGCCAAGGCGGGTGGAGCTGCCGAGGGACCTGGGGACGGCTGGGCTGCGGGGGTCAGGGAGGTGACCCGCCCGGGGGTCAGGGAATGAGGGCTGGGGCTGGACTAACTCGCAGGTGGAGGCGGGCGGCCCCGTGGGATCAGGAGCAACCAGGACCCATGAGGCCTCAAGCCCTCCCCTCAGCGTCCTCCTCCCTGGGCCCAGCACAGCCCCTCTGTCTCCTCAGGACCCCGTCTCCCCTCAGGACCCCGTCTCCCCTCAGGAGCCCGTCTCCCTTCAGGACCCCCCGTCTCCCCTCAGGACCCCGTCTCCCCTCAGAACCCCGTCTCCCCTCAGGACCTCCCGTCTCCCCTCAGGACCCCCGTCTCCCCTCAGAACCCCTCATCTCCCCTCAGGACCCCTCATCTCCCCTCAGGACCCCGTCTCCCCTCAGGACCCCGTCTCCCCTCAGGAGCCCCCGTCTCCCCTCAGGACCCCGTCTCCCTCAGGACCCCGTCTCCCCTCAGGACCACGTCTCCCCTCAGGACCCCGTCTCCCCTCAGGACCACGTCTCCCCTCAGGACCCCGTCCCCCCTCAGGACCCCGTCCCCCCTCAGGACCCCGTCTCCCCTCAGGACCCGTCTCCCCTCAGGGACCCCGTCTCCCCTCAGGACCCGTCTCCCGTCTCCCCTCAGGACCACGTCTCCCCTCAGGACCCTCGTCTCCCCTCAGGACCCCGTCTCCCCTCAGGACCCCGTCTCCCCTCAGGACCCCGTCTCCCCTCAGGACCCCGTCTCCCCTCAGGACCCCCCGTCTCCCCTCAGGACCCGTCTCCCCTCAGGACCCTCGTCTCCCCTCAGGACCCCGTCTCCCCTCAGGACCCCCGTCTCCCTCAGGACCCCCCGTCTCCCCTCAGGACCCCCGTCTCCCCTCAGAACCCCGTCTCCCCCTCAGGACCCCGTCTCCCCTCAGGACCCTCATCTCCCCTCAGGACCCCGTCTCCCCTCAGGACCCCGTCTCCCCTCAGGACCCCCCGTCTCCCCTCAGGACCCCCGTCTCCCCTCAGGACCCCCGTCTCCCCTCATGAGCCCTGTCTCCCTTCAGAACCCCTCATCTCCCCTCAGGACCCCGTCTCCCCTCAGGACCCCGTCTCCCCTCAGGACCCCCCCTCCCCCCACAGGACCCCGTCTCCCCTCAGGACCCCGTCTCCCCTCAGGACCCCGTCTCCCTTCAGGACCCCCCGTCTCCCCTCAGGACCCCGTCTCCCTCAGAACCCCGTCTCCCCTCAGGACCTCCCGTCTCCCCTCAGGACCCCCGTCTCCCCTCAGAACCCCTCATCTCCCCTCAGGACCCCTCATCTCCCCTCAGGACCCCGTCTCCCCTCAGGACCCCGTCTCCCCTCAGGAGCCCCCGTCTCCCCTCAGGACCCCGTCTCCCCTCAGGCCCCCGTCTCCCTCAGGACCACGTCTCCCCTCAGGACCCCGTCTCCCCTCGGACCACGTCTCCCCTCAGGACCCCCGTCTCCCCTCAGGACCACGTCTCCCCTCAGGACCACGTCTCCCCTCAGGACCCGTCTCTCCCTCAGACCCCGTCTCCCCTCAGGACCACGTCTCCCTCAGGACCCCGTCTCCCCTCAGGACCACGTCTCCCCTCAGGACCCTCATCTCCCCTCAGGACCCTCATCTCCCCTCAGGACCCCGTCTCCCCTCAGGACCCCGTCTCCCCTCAGGAGCCCCCGTCTCCCCTCAGGACCCTGTCTCCCCTCAGGACCATGTCTCCCCTCAGGACCCCGTCTCCCCTCAGGACCCCGTCTCCCCTCAGGACCCCCGTCTCCCCTCAGGACCCCGTCTCCCCTCAGAACCCCTCATCTCCCCTCAGGACCCCGTCTCCCCTCAGGACCCCGTCTCCCCTCAGGACCCCGTCTCCCCTCAGGACCCCCCCTCCCCTCAGGACCCCCCGTCTCCCCTCAGGACCCCGTCTCCCCTCATGAGCCCTGTCTCCCCTCAGAACCCCTCATCTCCCATCAGGACCCCGTCTCCCCTCAGGACCCCGTCTCCCCTCAGGACCCCCCGTCTCCCCTCAGGACCCCGTCTCCCCTCAGGACCCCGTCTCCCCTCAGGAGCCCGTCTCCCTTCAGGACCCCCCGTCTCCCCTCAGGACCCCGTCTCCCCTCAGAACCCCGTCTCCCCTCAGGACCTCCCGTCTCCCCTCAGGACCCCCGTCTCCCCTCAGAACCCCTCATCTCCCCTCAGGACCCCTCATCTCCCCTCAGGACCCCGTCTCCCTCAGGACCCCGTCTCCCCTCAGGAGCCCCCGTCTCCCCTCAGGACCCCGTCTCCCCTCAGGACCCCGTCTCCCCTCAGGACCACGTCTCCCCTCAGGACCCCGTCTCCCCTCAGGACCACGTCTCCCCTCAGGACCCCGTCTCCCCTCAGGACCACGTCTCCTCTCAGGACCCCGTCTCCCCTCAGGACCCCGTCTCCCCTCAGGACCCCCCGTCTCCCCTCAGGACCCCGTCTCCCCTCAGGAGCCCGTCTTCCCTCAGGAGCCCCCGTCTCCCCTCAGGACCCCGTCTCCCCTCAGGACCATGTCTCCCCTCAGGACCCCGTCTCCCCTCAGGACCCCGTCTCCCCTCAGGACCCCCCATCTCCCCTCAGGACCCCGTCTCCCCTCAGGACACCTCATCTCCCCTCAGGACCCCGTCTCCCTCAGGACCCCCCGTCTCCCCTCAGGACCCCCCGTCTCCCCTCAGGACCCCGTCTCCCCTCATGAGCCCTGTCTCCCCTCAGAACCCCTCATCTCCCCTCAGGACCCCGTCTCCCCTCAGGACCCGTCTCCCCTCAGGACCCCCCGTCTCCCCTCAGGACCCCGTCTCCCCTCAGGACCCCGTCTCCCTCAGGACCCCGTCTCCCCTCAGGACCCCGTCTCCCCTCAGGACCCCGTCTCCCCTCAGGACCACGTCTCCCCTCAGGACCCTGTCTCCCCTCCGGACCTCGTCTCCTCTCAGGACCCCGTCTCCCCTCAGGACCCCGTCTCCCCTCAGGACCACGTCTCCCCTCAGGACCCCGTCTCCCCTCAGGACCCCCCGTCTCCCCTCAGGACCCCGTCTCCCCTCAGGAGCCCCCGTCTCCCCTCAGGAGCCCCCGTCTCCCCTCAGGACCCCGTCTCCCCTCAGGACCATGTCTCCCCTCAGGACCCCGTCTCCCCTCAGGACCCCGTCTCCCCTCAGGACCCCCCATCTCCCCTCAGGACCCCGTCTCCCCTCAGGACCCCTCATCTCCCCTCAGGACCCCGTCTCCCCTCAGGACCCCCCGTCTCCCCTCAGGACCCCCCGTCTCCCCTCAGGACCCCGTCTCCCCTCATGAGCCCTGTCTCCCCTCAGAACCCCTCATCTCCCCTCAGGACCCCGTCTCCCCTCAGGACCCCGTCTCCCCTCAGGACCCCCCGTCTCCCCTCAGGACCCCGTCTCCCCTCAGGACCCCGTCTCCCCTCAGGACCCCGTCTCCCCTCAGGACCCCCCGTCTCCCCTCAGGACCCCGTCTCCCCTCAGGACCCCGTCTCCCTCAGGACCCCCCCGTCTCCCCTCAGGACCCTGTCTCCCCTCAGGACCCCGTCTCCCCTCAGGACCCCGTCTCCCCTCAGGACCCCGTCTCCCCTCAGGACCCCGTCTCCCCTCAGGACCCCGTCTCCCTTCAGGACCCCCGTCTCCCCTCAGGACCCCGTCTCCCCTCAGGACCCCGTCTCCCCTCAGGACCCCCTGTCTCCCCTCAGGACCCCGTCTCCCCTCAGGACCCCCCCATCTCCCCTCAGGACCCCCCCGTCTCCCCTCAGGACCCCGTCTCCCCTCAGGACCCCGTCTCCCCTCAGGACCCCCGTCTCCCCTCAGGACCCCGTCTCCCCTCATGAGCCCTGTCTCCCCTCAGAACCCCTCATCTCCCCTCAGGACCCCTCATCTCCCCTCAGGACCCCGTCTCCCCTCAGGACCCCGTCTCCCCTCAGGACCCCTCATCTCCCCTCAGGACCCCGTCTCCCCTCAGGAGCCCCCGTCTCCCCTCAGGACCCCCGTCTCCCCTCAGGACCCTCTGTCTCCCATCAGGATCCCCCCCTCCCGTCTCCCCTCAGGACCCCTCATCTCTCCTCAGGACCTTCTCCCCTCAGACCGCCCCTGTCCCCCTCTCCCTCGACCCCTTCCGCTGCCTCAGGACCCCAGAACGTGGCTGGAGCCGCCTTTGCTCACCATCTACTTCCAGGGCGTCCCGCCTCCCCATTCGGTCCGCAGGCGTCATCCCGCCCAGCCTCGGGCTCCGCCCCGCCCCACGGAGCCCCGCCCACCGGGCCCACCTGGTGCTGTAGCTCCGCCCTCACTTCAGGCCCCGCCCTCGCCGTGGCCCCGCCCCAGAAACAACCAGCCTATCAGATTTAGCTCATGTCGGGCCCCGCCCCCGCCTCTAGCCCCGCCCCGGGGTCTCTGCCAGGTCAGGGCGCGCCCCTCCGGTCACCTGTTGCCCCTCTGTCCCTGCATGGACCGGGTTTCCGGGCAGACCCGGGAGGGACCGCGGGGGAGGCGGCTGCAGCCCAGTGGAGGCCGGTGGACGTGGTGCGATGGAGGTCAGGACAGTGCAGAGGCGCCCCGACCTGCGCCGAGGGTGGGAGACCCCAGGGGCCACTCAGACTGGTCTCGGGGGAAGGACTGAGCTGCCCTGCTAGGGGCACTGAGGACAGTGAGTCCCTTCCGTTAAACTGTTGAAAATACCGTAAACGACATTTGCAAATCTAAAGCACTGGCCTCCCTTTTTAACCTAAATTGTCCGAGGTAACAAGCAATCCTCCTTGGACACTAAGTAATTCTTACACATAAAATAAATGCAGCGAACCTAAAATTCTCTTTAGGTTTCTGAAACTGTCCTAAAACCCAGGAGATTGCAACTCACAAATCTAAATCAATTACAAATTACAGCCCTTGGCGGGTGCTCAGTGATTGGAGCATCTGCCCAGGGACTGAAGGTTGTGGGTTCAATTCCCAGTCAAGGGCACAAACCACACGAAGCTTCACACCTGTTCTAGCTCTGGCCTCCCTGCGGGTCTCCCCACCCGGGGAGGTGAGGCTGCCCCTGCAAGGACGGAGGTCAGGAGGCCGGGCCCCGACCCTCCCCACCAGGGAATGAAGGGGTCCCTCTGAATCTCCTCTCTCCTTGTCCAGGGGTCAGCAGCTTTGTGAGGGGCCCACAGGTGAGGGGTGGGCAGCTGTGGAAGGTCCCTGTGGCTGGGGAGCAGGTGTTTAGAGAAAGGAGCCTGGGAGGAGCAAGGCTCCTTCAGAGGGGCCGGCCCCTGGCCTGGGGTCCCGCAAAGAGGGGAGGCTCAGAGGGGTGGTCAGCTCCTCCGAGGTAGATGGGCACCTTGGTCCAGGCCCCACCACCGTCGGGAGAAAGCCCTCTCCCGGGGCCCCACCTGGGGTCTCAGTGCTTCTCTGTGTCTCCCAGGTGCCTTCCTGCCCCAGGCGCCAGCCGCGGCCAACGACCCTGCCGCGGAAGAAGTGGGGGTGAGTGGGCTGCCGTCCACGGCTGACATACTGAACAGCCCGCAGCTCAGCCCCACCGCCGTCAGCATGCTGCTGCCCTCCCTCGGGCCCATGACGCAGAGCAGTGCGCTCACCAACCTCCTGGGCAGCCCCCTGGGCAACCACCTCACCAGCCCCTTGGCAGTGTCCGTGCCGAGCCTCATAGCCAGCGCTCTGGGCCTGCCCTCCACCGGCTCCCTGTCGCCACACAGCGGCTCCATGATGGTGCCCCCGGGGGGCACGCCGACCAGCTCCCTGGGCCTGCCCACCGGCTCCCTGACACCACACGGCGGCTCCATGATGGTGCCCCTGGGGGGCACGCCGACCGGCTCCCTGGACCTGCCGACGACCGGCTCCCTGGCGTCAAGCAGCCCCCTGGTGGGCCCCCAGTTCACCTCCACCACCGCCCCTCCAGGTGTTTCTCAGAGCCTTCTGGCCAACCCCATGACCAATGAGGCCCCCCGGGTGCGGCTGGCAGAGCCCCTCCAAGGATCCACCTCTGGACCCCATCCCTCCCCTGGCACCACGGGGCCTGCTGCCACCGGCAAAAGTAAGTGGTGGGTGCGGGGGGCGGGGGTGTCCCTGCCAGGCCGGTCCCTGGTCCCACCTCGCCCTTACCCTCCTCCCCTCCTTTCTGCCCCACCTTGTCAACCAGTCCCACTCTCCACCGAGCACCCCCAGCCGAGCCAGGACCCCGAGTCCTTCAGCGTGACGTTCGTGGGTGGGCCCATCATGACCTCCACCCCCGTCGGCGCTGTGGGCACGCCGGGCTCCGCGACCACCTTCTCCTTCGGCACCTCAGAGATCCAGACTCAGGCGGGTGCCCCTCGGGGACAAGCAGCGGCTGGCCTCGTCCCCACCTCCCCAGCTCTCTGCCCCATCCTCCCCCACACCCCTGATCCTGCTCCCCCCGCTGCCACCGCTCACAGCCCCTCAAACACCGTCCACATGGCCCAGGGCGCCACCCACTCCGCCACCCAAGTGAACCACTCCAACACCCGGCCCGCACCCACCTCCCACACCCCACCCCGCACCACCTCCTCCCCGGCTTCCGTCAACGGCCCACGCTGCTCCGAAACGTCTCGGAAGAGCAACCTGGAACTGGAGCGGAAGCTGGCCCACCGCAAGATCAGCAAGTTCCCTGAGACCCCCCGAGGTCGGTGCTGTCCCCGGGTGGACTCCGGTCTGGGGGCTCCTGGCCACCCTCGGAGACCCCTCCAGGTGCCTGCCTGGGCTATAGACCACGCCACTGCCCACCCCCTCCACCCCTTGCCGTTCCCAGAGCCGAAGCAGCTGGCCTTGGAGAGGTTGGTGGGCGAGATCGCGTTCCAGCTGGACCGCAGGATCCTGTCCAGCATTTTCCCGGAGCGCGTGCGCCTCTATGGCTTCACCGTCTCCAACATCCCCGAGAAGATCATCCAGGTGTGTGCCCGTCTCCCTCCCACTCCCAGCCAGAGGGCCTGCCGGCACAGGGCAGGCATGGGGAGCATGCTGGCCCCTGAGGGGCTGCTGGGGGCCCTGCACTCCAGCCAGGTGAGCACAGAGACCCCCAAGGACGGAGCACGAAGCCAGCAGTGCCCGGACCATCTACCAGCAGGAGGCCGTGGTCCCCAGCTGCACCGACTCCCTGGAGAACAGGGCAGGGGAGCGGCTGAGCGTGGTTCCCCCTCGGCCCGTGCAGTGGCTCCTAGCGCCCCCACTCCAGACTGGAAGGGGGTGTGCAGGTGGCCTTCCCTGGGAAACAGCCCCCGGTGCCCCCCGCGCCTCCTCTAGGCCCCGTGTCTGTGCACCGTCCTCCTGGGGGTGACGGGCAGGAGCGGCTTTGGCTCCAGTGGGCCCATCCTCGCCCAGCGGCACGCTTGCCTATTCCGGCTGTTAAGGTGCCCTCAGTCTTTCGTTGTCACACGGTGCCCGCCCCCCCGCGATGCTCCCCAAGCCCCCTCCGTGGCTCCCGGAATGTTTGTGACTTTTGTGCGACGATTTAGTTAGCCAGTCCAAGCCTCCTCCTAGTTTTCAGAGCTCCCTTCTCATCAGCTCAGTTTCCCACGCAGTCATTTTGTGCAGTAATTACGGGAAGCCGCCGATGTGGCAACATCCTGTTTCTGACTCCGCGAGGGGCACTTCCTGTTAAGTAGGAAGTGTGTTCCAGGTTTTAAAAATATCTTTTTTTTTTTTTTTTTTTTTAATCATTGAATTCAGAGAGGGAAGGAGAGAGAAACAGCCATGATGAGAGAACTATGGATGGGCTGCCTCCTGCACGCCCTCTACTGGGAATGTGCCCTGACCAGGAATCAAACCCTGACTTCCTGGTTCCTAGGTCGATGCCCAACCCCTGAGCCAGGCCAGCAGGGCTGCGCCAGGCTTTTGGCCAGGTCAGCCAGTTCCTGGTTGCAGAGGACAGAACCCTCCGAGCTGGTGTGAGCAGGAAGGGTCATGACATCTGCATGGCCAGAAGCTCCAGGAAGCAGACACCACGGGGCGTTCTCTGCTCTGCAACCAGGAGAAATGCCAGCTCCACAGGGGCCTTTCTCGTGGACAGACACCCTCTGCAGAAACCCAGGTCACGGGGGTGTCGGGAAAAGGTGGCTTTCAGTGTCCAGCCCCTTGAGGACAGAGGGCACTAGAAGGCTCTAGAACAGAAACCAGATGAGCCAGATTCAGTATCAGGTTGAGAAATTCCCCCTCTTCCTCCTTTGTTAAGAGCTTTTTATTTATTTTATTTTTCTTTCTTAATTGTGAACAAACATTGGATTTTTTAGAATGTTTTTCTGTCTCTGATGAGATGATCACATGATTTCCCCTCCCTCCCTTTTCTCTTAACACCGTGGTCGGCAAACCGCAGCTCACAGGCCACGGGCGGCCCTTTGGCCCCCTGAGTGCGGCTCTTCCACAAAACACCACGGCCTGGGCGAGTCTGTTTTGAAGAAGTGGCGTTAGAAGAAGTTTAAGTTTTAAAAATGTGGCTCTCCGAAGAAATTCCAGTCGTTGTCCTGTTGATATTTGGCTCTGCTGACTAATGAGTTTGCCGACCACTGTCTTAACATTTTGAGACTCGAGATAAGATATTCTGATCATAAACCAATCCCGGTGTTTGTTTTGTCTCTTTTAAAATATATTTTTATTTCACAGAGGAAAGGAGAGGGGGAGAGAGAAACATCCACAGTGAGAATCAGGCTTTGTGCTAAACACGTAACAGAGTATATTTCATTTGATTCTCAAAACAACCCTTCTAGGCGGGCCCCCTGTATTCTCATGTCCATTTGACAGATGAGAAAACCAAGTTTGAAAATAGCTGACACCTGGCCCCACTCTTAATGTAAGAAAGCCCAGTCCTCGGGGGGGATTCAAGAAAAGTTTTTGAGGTTAATGTTGGTCCACGCCTTGTCCCAGAAGCCAGAGAAACAGCCGTTAGGGAATAGGGGCAGGGAGAAACAGGGGTACAGGAGGATCGGCTGCCTCCCGTTCGCCCCGCACTGGGATCGAGCCCTCAACCCCCTGGGCATGTGCCCTGACAGGATTCAAACCAAACCCTGACCCCCTGGTTCATGGGTCTACGCTCAGCCACTGAGACCCACAGGCTGGGCTATTTGTTTCTTGGATTGAGTACTTCATTTTATTTTGCATTTCTTTTGCTTTTAAATGAAGCATTTAGGACTGGTGGATGGAGGGGGGCAGTAAAAACCTGGGACCACTGCTACTGCGGAGCACCAGCCGGAGTGGACGATGAGGCAGGGTCTAGGGCCGAGGGAGCGGTTCTATCGCTCAGCAGCTGGCGGGGAAGCCCTGTGTCTGCCACCCGCTGCCGCTTCGGAGAGTGCCTGCAGGGTGGACGAGCCCAGCCCTCCCCTCTATGTCCAGACCCCGTCCATCCCGTACGGTGGTCAGCTTGACATTTAAAACCACAGAGCCGCCCTGGCCGGTTGCCTCAGTGGATAGAGCATTGGCCTGCAGACCAAAGGGTCCCGGGTTTGATTCCGGTCAAAGGTTGCAGCTCCTCCCTGGCCTGGGCCCTGGTCCAGGCGTGTGCAAGAGGCAACCAATCGAAGTGTTTCTCTCACATTGATGTTTCTCACGGTCTCTCCCTCTTTCTTCCACTCTCCCTAACCATCAATGGAAAAAATATCCTCAGGTGAGGGTTAGCAAAATACACACACACACACACACACACACAGCCCACCAGGAGGCTCCAATCCTCAGGACAGGGCCCTTCCCCCTGCTCTGCTCTCAGCACGGGGGGGGGGGGATGCCCACAGCTCCCCAGCCCAGGGTGCTTGTCCCCTCCCCTCCACTCTTAAAGAGCTACTTCCTAGGGCAGCCCTGGCCTTGTCTCTCAGCCCACACTGCTCTCCAGGGCCCAGCTCCCTGAAGGGTGGGCTCAGCCTGGTCCCCACTGACCTCCTGCTCCCGTCCTGAGATCCGTGCCCCAGACCCTGCGCAGCAGCAGCTCAGCCAGGGCCCGGCCCACAGCTGTGCACCCACGGTGCTCCCTGCCGCCCTGGGTGACAGCTCCCCTGCTCACCCCCCACTGTGGCCTGAGCTCCGGAAGTCCTTCCCAGGGGCCTGGAGAGCAGGCTGGAATCAGAGACAGGAAGTGACGAGCCGAGCCCAGAGCTCTGGTGTCACCTGCCAGAGGTCAGGGGTCACTTCAGCTGAGCCCAGCCCTAAGCCCAGTGCTCTGCTCACATGACCACCTGGCGGGGGGTGGGGGGGACAGGAGGGAGGACAGAGAGGCCTTCCTGGAGGAGGCGGTGCCTAAGCCTCTTGTCTGGGCCTTCCCGTCAGGTAAGGAGCCAGCATCTAGGAAGTGGCTGGAAGGGGGCATGCAGGGCCAGGCCACAGCCTCACAGGTTGGCCCTGGCCCCAGAGCAGGAGCCGTGGGAGCCACAGAACAGCTCAGGCAGGGACACACCCTATCGGACGCCCACTTCCGACCCTTAGTTCTGCGGGCCTGGCCCCTCCCCCCCAGCACCTGTGACAGGTGCACCCTGTGCAGGGCCTGGTGCCAAGGAAGATACCAGGCTACCGCTGGGCATTCGGCTGTGTGCAGGGCCCTCTGAGCCGGGGGTCATGTGACTGCCCCGTCATGTGTCCTGGAGGCCACAGCAGGGGACGGGGGAGGAGGGACAAATTCGTGGTGAGATGCTATGGAGGACGGGGCCACCACCTGGCAAGGGTGAGGAAGGCCTTGTAGGTGGAGACGGCCCCCAGCCGCTGCCAGCCCCCAGGCCCGGGCACCAGGAGCAGACACCTGGGGGACAGCAGGACCCATGCTGGGGCAGCATGGCTGGCTCCAGGCCCTGGGCGGCCATGTCAGCCTGAGAGGTGGGAGTGACACCAGCAGGACCTGTGCAGGGTTCAGAGGAGGCGGAGGCTGGAGAGAGGAAGGGTGGGGAGCCAGGAGGAAGCCTTGCAGAGCCCCCAAGTGGCGTCTGGTGGGTCAGGCAACGCTCCCTCACTGTCCCTCCAACCCCAGCTCCCAGCCACGCTCTGGCTCTCGGTCCTCAGTTCCTCTTGGCCCCAGCTCCATCCTGAGTCCCCGGGTGATGGATCCGGGGATGGGGCTTAGGGAACCTTTGCCCCTCCCCTGACGGTGTCCCCTCCCTCTTCCCAGGCCTCCCTGAACCCCAATGACCACAAGCTGGACGAGGAGCTGTGCCAGACGCTCACCCAGCGCTACGTGAGCATCATGAACCGGCTGCAGAGCCTGGGCTACAACGGGCGGGTGCACCCGGCGCTGACGGAGCAGCTGGTGAATGCCTACGGCATCCTGCGGGAGCGGCCGGAGCTGGCCGTGTCCGAGGGCGGCTCCTACACCGTGGACTTCCTGCAGCGCGTGCTGGTGGAGACGGTGCACCCCAGCATGCTCACCGACGCGCTGCTGCTGCTCTCCTGCCTCAGCCAGCTGGCGCACGACGATGGCAAGCCCATGTTCATCTGGTGACGTGCCGGCTGCCCCACCGGGCCCTGCCCGCCGGCCCAGCTCCCCACCGTACACATTAAAGATTCCCACTGATGCTGGCCGCTGGGCCTGCCCGCACGCCTGGCCGTGCTGCTTCCTTGGGCGGTTCCCAGTGCCCGCTCCCCTTTGCCCGGTCGGTCCTGCTGGCCCTGGGGCAGCTGCCTGGCCGAGGGGGGGGTATCAGAAGGCCCAAGGTTCCCCTGGCCTGGCCGTGGGCACAGTGAGAGGCCCTGGGACTCCAGGGGAGGAGCAGGAAGCAGGAAGGAGCCCAGTGGCAGGGAAGGGCTGTGGCAGTGCCTGCACGCTGGCGACAGATTGGAGCGGAGGCCTGGGCGCCTTGCAGAAGGCAGACTGGACGCGAGAGGAGGATGTGGCTGCGGGAGTTCCTCCCTCTGGGCCAGGCAGGGAGGAAGGGGGATTCTGGACCCCCTTGAGGGCAGGGGGACCTGAGAGGAGGGAAGGGAACCAGGAGAAAGCCCTCCGTAGACCTGGCACCGGTGGCCCAGGGAGGTGGGACCCATTCCCAAGGCACGGGGCGGGAGGGGGGGGCAGGAAGCAGAGGCAGCTCCACTGGGCTGCAGGGGCAGAGGCAGGATGGGAAAGTGGGCAGAGCCGAGAGCTCGGCCCCAGGCGTGGCTCAGGGGTTGAGTGTTGACCTATGAACCAGGAGGTCGTGGTTCACTTCCAGTCAGGGCACATGGCCGGGGTTGCAGGCTCCATCCCCAGTAGGGGGCGTGTGAGAAGCATCTGATTCAGGACTCATCATTGATGTTTCTATGTCTCTCTGAAATCAATAAACATATTCAATATATATATTTAAAATTTTAAATACATTTTATTGATTTTACACAGAGAGGAATTGAGAGGAATTGAGAGGGACAGAGAGTTAGAAACGTCGATGAGAGAGAAACATCGACCAGCTGCCTCTTGCACACCCCCTACCGGGGATGTGCCCGCAACCAAGGTACATACCCTTGACTGGAATCGAACCCGGGACCCTTCAGTCCGCAAGTCGACGCTCTATCCACTGAGCCAAACCGGTCCCGGCTCAATAAACATATATTTTAAAAATATGCTTAAAAAAAAAAAAAAAGCACCTGCTGTAGGGACTGGTTCACAGCTCCAGTTACAAAGGTGGGGGCCCAGCAACATCGGAAGGATGGGGGCAGCTCCCCAGCCTCCACCTGAGCTGTGGGAGCGGGCTCAGCTGGTAACGGAGACGGGCTCTCGTGCCGGGAGGGGGCGGGGGGAGCGGCCGCGCAGGGTGGAAACCAACGGCCCCTGCCCCCCAGGTGGGAAGCTCCGCGGGGTCCAAGAGCCGCCCTGCTGTGCGCCCGGCCTTGGGGGGCTCCGCGGGGCGCGGCTTGGGCGGTGGGTTAAGCCGCTCAGAGCCTGGAGACCATCCCTTCGCTGGACACCGAGCCCCTGGGAGCCGGCGGGGTGGGATGGAGCACATCCCAAAGTCCGGCAGCCTGAGCACCCGGGCAGTCCCACGCGGACGTGCAGGAGGCGGGAGGGAGCGGGGCGCAGCGCCCACCGCAGGCCCCTCGCCGGCGCTGCGCCCGCGCCTGGCAGCACCCTCCGCGCGGTGCGGGCCGCCCCGCAGCCCCGGAGCCCTCAGGCGCATCTAGTTCCCCATGCGGCCTTCCGGGGAGGGCGGGGCGGGCCGGGGCGGGGCTGCAGGGCCGGTGTCCCTTTCGCTTTCCCTTTGCTTCTCTCCAACCGCCAACTAGACTTCGCGCGGGGAAGAGGGCGGTTTCCTGGACGCAAATCTGCGCCCGTGCGCGTGTCCCCGGGCACTCGGGCACCTTCCTGGGTCCGCGCACAGGTTGCGCCGCCTGGCCTTGACCCTGGCCTTGACCCCTGCGGCCCCGCACCTGCCCCGGCGGGCGCACCGGCAGGTCACCTAGCAGATGAGTGGCTGAGGCGCCCGCGGCCGGCCGAGGAGCCCCGCGCGCCATGCCCTCCCGGCCGGACTGGCCTCCGGTACCCTGCGCGCTCCGGCCCTCGCCCTTCCCGCACCCGGCGCTGCACGCCCTGCACGCCCTGGCCCGCGCGCTGCTCTTCCCCGCCTACTGGGCCCTGGACCAGCTGCTGGGGTGCTGGGCCCCCAGGGCGCGCCCCAGCTTGCTGACGGCGCTGCGCGTGGCCGTGTGGGCAGGGGCGGCGCTCCTGCTGCTGCTGCTCGGCCTGCCGCTGGCGCTGCCGGGCCTGCTGCTTTGGCTGCCGCTGCAGGCCTGGCGCCGCCCCTTCTGCTACCAGCCCCCCCCGCAGGGCTGGGCGCCCCCCGCGCCCTGGCGCCCCCCGGCGGAGCCCGCGCGCTGCTTCGGCTTCCTCAGCGCCAACCTGTGCCTGCTCCCCGACGGGCTGGCGCGCTTCAGCAACCTGCGGCACACCCAGCGGCGCGCTGACGCCGCGGGCGCCTTGCTGGTGGCCGGCCTGCGCGCCGCGCCCTCGCGCTACGGGGCCACGGGCTGCAGCCCGCCCCCCGAGCCCGTTGCGCCCCCCGGGGTGCTGACGGCCGCCCTGCCGCCGGGCCTGGACTTCGTGTGCCTGCAGGAGGTGTTCGACCTGCGCGCGGCGCGGCCCCTGGTGAGCCGCCTGGCCCCCCACCTGGGCCCCGTGCTGCATGACGTGGGCACGTTCGGCCTGCAGCCCGGGCCGCACCTCAAGCTCCTGGGCAGCGGGCTGCTGCTGGCCTCGCGCTACCCGCTGCTGCGCGCCGCCTTCCGGGCCTTCCCCCAGGCCCGCCGCGAGGACGCGCTGGCCTCCAAGGGCCTCCTCTCTGCACAGGTACCCGCCCGCCCGCGGCCGCGCTCCGGGAGGCCGGGAGGGGGCGGGCGCGGGGCCCCGGGAGAGGGTTGCTGGGGCTGTCCGTGGTGTTGCAGGCGCAGGTGGGCATCCTGAACGGGCGCCGCGTCGTGGGCTTCCTGCACTGCACGCACTTGCATGCCCCGAGTGGTGAGCCCGGAGGGCGGGATGGGGGCGCGTGGGCGGGCTGACCCGCCTCCCCCGCCGTTTGTTCACGCCCCGGACACCGCGGATCCCTGGGGTGCCTGGGCGGGCTCACAGGGGGTGGGCAGGGTGGGTGACGGGGAGTTCGGTGGTGTGTCCCGGGTTCTGAAGGGCACCCTGCGCCGAGCCTTCCTCTCCCCCTCCCCCTCCCCCTCCTGCAGGGGACGGACATCTGCGCTGCAAACAGCTGACGCTGCTGCTGAACTGGGCCGAGCAGTTTGAGGCCGAGAGCCGCTCCAGCGACGAAGCCGTGGCCTTCAGCGTGCTCCTGGGGGACCTCAACTTTGACAACTGCTGCCTCAGTGAGGGCGCCCCGGGGGGCGGCGCGGGGCGGGGCGGGGCGGCGCGGGGGTCCCGGCCCCGCCCACCCAGCGCCGGCCTTTCTCCGCAGACGACGCGCGGGAGCAGGAGCACCAGCTCTTCAGCCGCTTCCGGGACCCCTGCCGGCTGGACACCCGCCGGGAGCAGCCCTGGGCCCTGGGTACGGCGCTCGGGCGGGCGGGGGACAGACCCAGGGAGAAGGGGGAAGACCCGGGGAGGAGGGGACAAACCCCGGCAGGAGGGGGACAGACCCAGGGAGGAGGGCTCGCCGGCCCACGCGCGCTCCGCTGACCCGCCTCCCCCGCCTCCCTCCCCCAGGAACGATGCTGCGCACGTCCAGGCTCCACCACTCGGTGGCCTGCTCCCCGGAGATGCTGCGGAGGTGAGTGGCGACTTGGGGGCGAGGCAGCCCGGCCCGAGCAGCCCCGCACAGCGGGTCGCGCCGGCCTTGATGACACCGCCCCTCCTCAGGGCCCTGGAGCAGGAGCGAGGCCGCCACCGCTACCTGGCAGGCCCTCCGCAGGGGGGGCGCCGGGCTAAGCCCTGGCGGGGCCGGCGCCTGGATTACATCACCTACCGGGGGGTGCCCGGAGGCCCGCTGAGCCCAGTAAGTGCCCCAGCTCAGGACGTCGGTCAGGCTGGCGCTGGGCGACCCCTCACCCTGACTCCCGCCCCCCAGGAGGTCGAGCAGGTGACATTCAGCACCGCCCTGGCCGGTCTCACTGACCACCTGGCCCTGGGACTTCGGCTCCGGGTTTCCGCGCACGGAGACGCGCAGGAGACCGCCGCGAGGCCCGGGGCGAAGGCGGGCACGGAGGCCAAGCGCGATTCGGCCAAGAGGGAGCCGGGCGGGCCGCAGCCGCGGAAGCAGAGCGTCTGATTGTGGATCTTTATTGCGCGGGCCTCCCCCCCTCACACAGCCTCCTGGGCCCTGCGGTACTCGTACACGCTGCCGCGCTTGGAGAAGGACGGGGGCTGGGGGGGCTGGAGGGGCGGCCCGGGCGGTGGGACCGGGTCCTCGGGGTCCCCGTAGCCCCCGCCGCCTGGCGTGTGGAGGCAGAACACGTCCTGTGGAGCAGAGCAACAGTTCAGCGCGGGCGTGGTCCCCGCCTCCCGCCCTCTGCGGCCCCATCCCCACAGCAGCCCATGCACAGCCCAGTCTGAGCCCCGGAGCCGCGCTTGGAGAAGGACGGGGTCCCCCAGAAACAGAATTAAACTAGGTCGCTAGTCACTTTTGCAACTCTGTGCACCTTCTGTGGGACGGCAGCCGCCGGGGAGGCGCAGATGGGACGGGACGGGAGACCATGCTTACCCCGGGGAACACGGATACCGAGGTCTTCCCGCCCAGGTTCACCGTCCTGCCGTCTTTGCGGATCAGTAGGTTTAGGCCGCGCGCACCGGGCTCCCCCCCTGCAGGAGGCGAGGCGCGGGTGGCTCAGGAGGCCAGGAAGGGAGAGATGGGGGGGGGGCTTGGTAAGGAGACAGGGCGCGGGGAGAAACAGACCGCGTTGGGGGGAGAGAGAGGCTGGGCTGGGGGGTGGGGCGCGGCGCTCACCGTGGAGGCCGTAGGGCCGGAAGGCGCGGCGCTCCGTCAGCACTGACAGCAGCGCCTCCTCGCGGAACAGCAGCTCGCGGACAACACCATCGCCGCCCCGGAAGCGGCCGCGGCCCCCGGACCCCAGCCTCAGCTCAAAGCGGCGCAAGATGACCGGATACCTGCGCGGGCCAGAGGCTCCGCTAGGTGGTCCTGGCCCCGCCCTCTCTCCGCCCACCAATCCGGTCCCACGCCCCGCCCACCAGCTCAGGACTGGCTTCTCGTCTCCGCCCCCGTCCCGCCCACCAACGCGAGTCCGGGTTCCACGCCCCGCCCTCTCCACGCCCACCAACCCAGACTGGCTCCTCGTCTCCGCCCCCGTCCCGCTCACCAATCCGGCTCCCACGCCCCGCCCTCGCCACACCCACCAACCCAGGACTGGCTCCTCGTCTCCGCCCTCCCCGCTCACCAATCCGGGCCCGGCTCCCACGCCCCGCCCCGCCCCTCACCTGCTCTCCAGGATCTCGGGGTCCGTGATGCGCGTGTTGGTCATGTGGCTGTGCACGCCGCTGCGCCCGTGCCAGCCGGGGCCCGCGCCCGCGCCGCCCGCCACGGTCTCGTAGTAGCCCATGTGCTCGTTTCCCAAGGTCACGTTGTTCATGCAGCCCTGGCGGGACGAGCGGTCGCTGAGCCTGCGGAAGCATCCCCGTCCGCTCCCCGCCTCCCCGCCCTCCTGTCCCGCTCCCCACAACAAGCCTGCCGGCGCCCACCGCACCTGGGAGGCGGCGCAGGCCCCGAAGGCCCCCAGGATGACGTCCACCACGCGCTGCGACGTGAGCACGTTGCCGCCCACCACGGCCGCCTCCGGGGAGGGGTCGAGGATGGAGCCTTTAGGAATCACCACGCGCACCGGGACCAGGCAGCCCTGCGCAGGGAGGACCGCCCGCAGGGTCAACTGGGAGATCTATGCCCCACCACCGCCAGCAGTACCCCTAGGACCATCCGGCTGCCTTTGCCCCAGGCTTGCTCAGGGTGCCTGGGGCGTAGGGTCCACCCGCCTGCCTCCCACACGGGACGTGCCTGCACACCTGGTTGAGCGGAATGTCCTTGCCCACCAGACAGCGCAGGCAGTAGATGAGGGCGGACAGCGTGATGGCCCGCGGGGCGTTGAGGTTGCCGAACACTTCTGGCCCGGTGCCGCTGAAGTCAAACACCGCGCTGCCCTGCCCACCGAGGGGAGGGGGAGAGGCCATCAGCGACGAGAGGGCCATGCCACCGTCATCCCCTCTGCCCCAGGCCCCGGGCCGGGCAGCCAGACCTGACTCAGGTTGATATGTACTCGGAGTCGGATGGGGGAGCCATCATCCATGTGGTCCTCCGCAGACACCTCCAGAGGCAGGCCCCGGGCCTGCCGGGAGGACCCGAAGGCCCGAAGCATGTCCCGCACAGCCAGCTCCGCGTTGGCCTGGCGGGGAGTGTGTTTAGAGGCCACCATGCCACCTCCCGGGTGGGCCGAGCACCCCCTCCCCTCCCAGCTGCTGCCTTGGGGCTGGCACCGAGCGGCCCACCTGGATGTGGCTCATGTAGGCCTGCACCACGTCCAGGCCGTACTGCCCGATGAGCTCCCCCACCAGCTGGATGCCCTTCTGGTTGGCTGCCACCTGGGCACGGAGATCTGACAGGTTGTCATGCAGGTTCCGAGTCCCACTGCAGCCGGGGATCTTGCCTGGGGCCTGCAGGGCCTCCGTGACCGCTGGACGGACAGACGGACGGATGGACTCACCCCTGAGCCAGCCTCCAAGCCCGGGGGCGGCCTGGTGCCCTGCTCTCCACCCGCTGCACCCCTGCCGGGCACTGTGGGCCCCATGTTGGCTGCTCCTCCCTCCTGGGTCCCACCATCCCCGCAGCAGCTCCAAACCCCCTCAGCCGGAGCTCCGTCCGCCAGCTGTCAGACTCCACTGTCCCCTCCAACCCCCAAATCCCATCAAATGCCAACCCTCCCAACCTCCAACTGTTGTCCCCACTCTATCCTCCCTGCCCAGGGGAAGGCTCAGCACCCCCCGGAGTAACTGCAGCTTCCCCTCCCCACTCCCCTGGCCCAGGGTCTGGGCCACCTTGGACCCTTCAACTCTGCATGCAGGCAGGGGGCACAGGCAGACTGGCATGCACCCGGCCGGGCCTTGCACAGCTGCCCACGGCCCTGCCACCCAACGACGTGGACCTGGGCCTTCTAGGAGCCTGCAGCCCCCAGACACAGTGCCAACCCAGTGCAAGCAGCCCACCGAGTCCCCAGGCCACCCCACTCACCCTCCTCCTGGAACACGCCTCCCTGGACAAGTTTAAAGGACAGGAAGACAGCGCCCTCCTGCTGCAGGGAGGTGGAGTGCGGGGGCATGGAGCCTGGCGTGATGCCCCCAATGTCTGCGTGGTGCCCGCGGCTGGCCACGTAGAACACAGGTCGTGCCTGACCCGGCCAGAACACCTGGGAGTGGAGAGCCGCGGTCAGCTGTATGGCCCCGGCCCCCTCCCGGCTCCCGGCCCCAGGCAGAGCCCTCACCGGCGTGATGACCGTCAGGTCTGGCAGGTGGCTGCCCCCGGCACTGGGGTGATTGCTCAGCAGCACGTCGCCGGGGTGCAGGTCAGCCCCCAGGTGCTGGATCTGAAGCCAGGACATGGTTGGGGGTCAGGAAGGGGCGGGGTGGGAGGGGCGGGAGAGGGCAGGAAGGGGGGCCGGGCAGACCTGGAACTGCACGGTCTCCTGCATGGCGCCCAGGTGCACGGGGATGTGGGGGGCGTTGGACACCAGCCCCCCGTCGGGCCCGAAGAGGGCGCAGGAGAAGTCGAGGCGCTCCTTGATGTTGGTGGAGATGGCCGTGCGCTGCAGGATGCGGCCCATCTGCTCTGGAGCAACAAGTGCGGGTGCTGCTGGCCCAGCTCACCCTCAGCCCGCCCGGGGGTGGGGGTGCGGGTGCTGCTGGCCCAGCTCACCCTCAGCTCTGTCCCTGGGGTGGGGGTGCTGCTGGCCCAGCTCCCCTGGCCTGCCCTGCTCAGATGCAGAGCCGGTTTCCTGCCCACAACCAGAGGCGCGCTCTGCCGGCGGCCGGCGGGTGCAGGGCGGCGGTGCCCCCAGAGCCCGGGCCGCGCGGCTCGCCCTGTCATGGCCCGATCCTGCTTTGGCCCCTTCCCGGGCACCACTTTGGGCGCCGCCTCTGCCCAGTTGGCAGACCGCGCACCGGACCCGGGGAGCAGGGCCGGCGGGCCGCGGCTCCGCACACTCACCCGCGATGCTCATGAAGCGGTGTGAGAAGATGGACAGGTGGATGGGGTCGAGCTGGGCGCCCACCGTGCCGAGGGTCTCGGCCCCCACTGAGATGCGGATGTCCCCGGTCTCGGTCACCTCCGCCTGGCAGCCTGGCTCCACCAGGATGGTGCTGGGGGCAGGGGTGCAGGGGTGCGGGGGGCTGGAGGGGCCAAGCCAGACCCCATCCCAACCAGGACCCTGGCTTCCCCAGGCCGGGGTCCCACCTCATGGGACCCTGGCGTCCTTCAGACTCCTGCAGCCTCCGGCCGAGAACCCCCTGCCCGGCCCCCACAGCGGTGGCCCTGACCCACACCCCCAGGCCCGGCCCGCCCGGGCCTCTGCCTACCTGTTGCTGTCGATGATCAGGCAGGGCCCCTGGAGCTTGTGCCCATAGCCCAGCTCTCCCAGCAGGAAAACCGGGGTCTCCTGGTAGCCCCCCTCAAAGTAGCACTGGGTCATCTGAGGAGAGGTGGGGTGAAGGAGGTCCCCAGGTCCCCAGCCTCCCCATCCCCGCCTCCCCATGTCCCCGAGGGCGTAGGCGGGGGTGCATGGAGGGCCGCTGACCTGGTCCACCCGGGGGGGCCCCGCCTGGGTCTTGGCGACGTCCTCCAGGCGAAGGCCGCTGCGGCCGGTGCCCCTCACCCGCACGTCGTCCACCACCACCGGCCGCTCGGGGATGACAAAGCCGAACTCCCGCATGTACCTGCGCCCGGGCCCAGGGAGGGGGCAGTCAGGGCAGGCGGCCGGGCCCAGGGAGGGAGGGGGCGGTCAGGGCAGGCGGCCGGGCCCAGGGAGGGAGGGGGCGGTCAGGGCAGGCGGCCGGGCCCAGGGAGGGAGGCAGCGGTCAGGGCAGGCGGCCGGGCCCAGGGAGGGAGGGGGCGGTCAGGGCAGGCGGCCGGGCCCAGGGAGGGAGGGGGCGGGCAGGGCAGGCGGCCGGGCCCAGGGAGGGAGGCGGCGGTCAGGGCAGGCGGCCGGGCCCAGGGAGGGA